GGATTCATTTAATTAAAGCTCTTAAGCTTAATTGGGGGGGAAATCGGTTGGTCTGCAAGCAACAACGCTCGTGTCTTATTGCAATTAGCAGTTTAGTTGTTTCTTTTTACTTTCTTTACTAACTGAACTTTCTTGCATTTCTTGATTAAATTTTTTTTTTTATCAATTGTTGTTGGCAATGCTTCAAACCATTTGTTATAACAGGTTAAATGGTTGCTATGGTTATGGGATTTTCAGTGTATGTATGTTCCGGATGTTTATTGAAGAATCTCTGGGGGCGATGCAAACAGTTGCGATAGGGTGTGTAATTAGCGTGTTTCGTATTATGCGATGTAACGGTCGTTCGTTAGGCACGAATTGTGTGTGTGTGTTTGAGCTCATAGGAATTGAATAATAATTCTCATATATATATCGCGTTGATGATTTCATGGCTTTGATGTTAGTTTATCGGTCGGACGGGGCGAACCATAAAGAGGTCGTAATGTGGGTGGCGGATCGGAGGTGGCGGCGCCGGGGGTCGCAGCTAGCGCGATGTAATTGGACGACGACTGCAGCGCCCTCTGCGACAATGGGTCTCCGGGTATTTATTGCTTTGTCATACCATAAAACCGCAGGAATTGCCGAGAAGACAACGACGACGACGACGTCCGCACACATACCAACCAAACACTTTCAGCCACCGCAGATCCTTTTGTATCTGTAATGCTCTTTAACCTGTCGTAAATCAAGTAACCGTCAAATCAAATGATAAAACACATGTTGTACTGTCAATCAGGGGGACCAAAGTGAATATGGTTTTTCGAGGACAGTTGGTACGATCCATTGACAAAGCCTAGGAGAGAAGAATGAAATCGGAATCAATCGGAACTTTTAAAATTTTTATTTTGCGAGAAACAAAATTTGATGGTAGTGTTTTTTTCAAATTTGTTATTGACAATTGAAAAAAAAAACATTCATTAAAAATTTCTAAAAAGATTTCGAAAATATTTTTACAGTTGGCAATGATCATCTGACCTTCTTTGAGCAGGGATTTGAAAAAAATAACAATCGCCTTTGGTATCCCTGCTGTCAACTGAAAGAAACAAATGTTGTTTATTTGGTTACATAACACTCAACTTTAATTATAAATATTAATTTACAAATTAATAATGTATAATTTGTATTACGTTATTTCCATATTACTAAATCGATACCAATTTAAATAAATTAATAATTAATGTCTGATTGCAGCATGAATTAATAACAGCTGATTGTCATTAAATAAGTGAAATGAGGAATGTTGGTATTGGCGTACATTGTGTAGTTACTGAATCGTTGCCAATGTAAAGTAAAGAAAATTACCATTTCCTCTGCACGAGTTGTATTAATTACATTGTCAGTTTGCAAGGCATTTTACTTAAGGTTAACAACTGTAAAAATTTTCCACCTGCAAGAACGGCGCCATCTCACGTCTGCTTTCAGCGATATTTCAATACTATCAGGATTACGCACGTTTCGTTTGTTTTTTATATGTAAACTAAAACAACTGAATCGAATCCTAACAAAATATTTACGAAATGTTTGAAAATTCGATGTTAATTTGTTTAAGTCAGATGATTTTTTTGGCAGTTGTCAATATGTTATTACCAATTAAAAAAAAAATAAAGTTAAAAATTGATAAATCCAACGATTGAATTAAAATTTAAAAAAATGATTTCTAACAAAATATTTGTTACAGAATTTGCATAATGAAATATTTAAAAAAAAAAATGTTAGGAAATAATTTACTATTATGAAATTACGTTGGTATTCTTAAAACTATAATTTGAAGTTCTATTGAATTTGTTACTAAAGCAACTTTGGTTAAGTTCAACAGCTGTAAAATCAAATAAATTAATAATGAATGTCTGATTGCTGTATGAATTGATAACAGCTGATTGTCATTAAATAAGTGAAATGAGGAATGTTGGTATTGGCGTACATTGTGTAGTTACTGAATCGTTGCCAATGTAAAGTAAAGAAAATTACCATTTCTTCTGCACGAGTTGTTTAATTACATTTTCAATTTGCATCAATTTAATTCTTTATGTGTTTTTATTTAATCGTTTGCTTAATTATCGAATCAATTTGTACGGTCTCTCATTTTCATCTGGTTTCATATATAGGGTGATCCTTCATTTCCTTCTTTCTTTTTTTTTCGAAGCTTCTTCTTCTTTTTGTAGATGGGTTGAAGGATGAGGCAGTTCTAACAATATCCTTTTCTTGGCGTGAGCGCCCCCTTCCGACAACCATCTAGCCATGCCTAATTCGCCGCTCCGCCGCCAATTAAAGCGCTGTCCCATCCAGAACAATTCCTCTCATTAAACGCGTGAGCTTTTCTCTCTGTCTCTCCCCCTTTTTAACAACTTAATTACTTTCGAAGCGCCGCACATTCCGACTCCTTTCCTCTCGCACGCGCAGATGGAAATGAGAAGGAAGAGGAAGAATTGATGTGAAGGAAACGGCGAAATGGATGTATAATGATAAGACCAAGAGGGGTTGGAAGTCTCTTCGTAATTATTTTTGTTTGTCTCTTTGGCGCGCGTACGAAGGGAAAAGAATTCCGGAAGGAAATGCGCGACACTTTGCGGGACGTTTATTAAACACTCGTTTCGTTCAAAGAGATGTGGCGGGAAAGAGGAACGAAGAACTAAGATTGGAAAATTTGATTTCCTTACCCTACACAACTTACACAAATGTTTGCATATTTGCCTAACAATGATTTATCACCAATACTAAATATGTTATAAAATAGATAAAACTTTGACAGTAAATTACAGAAAACTGCAATTGTTACAATTGAAAATCCCAAACATGTAACTTTAATATATAATTACGTTGTGTAAGTTAATGAAACTTCTTCTGAATTTTGATGAATACAAATGATGCGAAGTAGTGAGCTGGAAACCTCCTATGACTAATGCAAAGGATGATAATGAACAAAAAAAGGGAAGAATAAGGACATTCGTTGAGGGAGAATGAAAGTATATAAAAAAAAAACTTGATGGAGAAGGGAATAAAATTACTAGAGGTTTGCAGAGTTTAATTTCGCGCGTGTACATTTATTTCGCCATCCCCTTGTAACTCACCCGTCTAGAGCTTCTTCTTCTTTTTTTTCTCGTCGCTTCTTCTTATTCTTCCATTCGATCTGCATATTTATGCATTCTCCCCTTTTCTTTTTAATCTCCCTGGTTTTATTCACAAACCACCGCACGAAACGAAACTTCCAACAGTAATTAACAAGAAGCTGCAACAATAATTTGTTGTAGCTTTATATTGGGTAAAAATTGTACCAACGTGTGAATTGAAAAAATATATTTCACCTGAAATTTCGTTTTCTATGTATATTTAATAGTAAAAAGCGTAGTCATAAAATAAATAGGAGCGTGCACGTAAACAGAAAGTCGTTAATTACGAAACGCAAACACTTCTTTGATTACATCCACCAATATTTACCTAACTTCATCGTATCAAATAATTTGTTGGTAATTCTGATACGTTACATTTCGTTGGTATTTGGTTAATTGGCTAATGTATCTTTTCTCAAATCTAATTATTTGATGCATCACTAAATTGTAACCAACTTAAATGAAACATACAATTACGTTGATATTAATTAATTCAATAAAATCACAAAAATCACGTCCAATTTACGATTCGCGTTCAGCTGTTATTTTTCCCATCCCCTTTTCGATGCATTAACGAGTCCTGCAAAGTCCCTGGATTACTTTTCCACCTGCAAAATCGGCGCCATCTCACGTCTGCTTTTAGCGATATTTCAATACTATCAGGATTACGCACGTTTCGTTTGTTTTTCATATGTAAAATAAAACAACTGAATCGAATCCTAACAAAATATTTACGAAATGTTTGAAAATTCGACGTTAATTTGTTTAAGTCAGATGAGTTTTGTGACATAATGTTATTGCCAATTTAAAAAAAAATAAAAGTTAAAAACTGATAAATCCAAAGATTGCATTGAAATTTAAAAAAATGTTGGCTGAAAAAAAAATCTGATTCCTAACAAAATATTTGTTACAGAATTTGCATAATGAAATATTAAAACAAAAATAACTATTATGAAATTACGTTGGTGTTCCTAAAATATAAATTGGCAGTTCTATTGGATTTGTTACTAAGGCACATTACTTAAGGTTAACAGCTGTCAAATTTGGCGCGCGTACGAAGAGAAAAGAATGTCTTAACACAAAGTCTCTGGATTATTTTTCCACCTGCAAAAACGGCGCCATCTCACGTCTGCTTTCAGCGATATTTCAATACTATCAGGATTACGCACGTTTCGTTTGTTTTTTATATGTAAACTAAAACAACTGAATCGAATCCTAACAAAATATTTACGAAATGTTTGAAAATTCGACGTTAATTTGTTTAAGTCAGATGATTTTTTTGGCAGTTGTCAATACGTTATTACCAATTAAAAAAAATAAAAGTTAAAAATTGATAAATCCAAAAATTCAATTGAAATTAAAAAAAAATGATTCCTAACAAAATATTTATTAAAGAATTTGCTTAATGAAATATTTAAAAAACAAATTGTTAGGAAATAATTTACTATTATGAAATTAGGTTGGTATTCCTATAACTATAATTTGACAGTTCTATTGAATTTGTTACTAAAGCAACTTTGGTTAAGTTCAACAGCTGTCAAATTTGACAATTTGGAAATGGAAACTACTTGATTAATTTAACGAATTTATTCTTTTGTTTGTTTATTGTGAAAATACACGACTATTGTGTAGTGTACGTGTTTATTTGTGTGTACAAATTATAAATTAAATTACACTTAAATCCGAGGCAGTAAAGTACATTTGAGACAAGTTTTTTTTTTTGCAAAACATCAACGTTTACGTTTTCTTCTATCACAGAAATCCCGTAGAATAATAAATATTTAATTCATTAAAAAGTGCGACAAAAAAAAAATTGATATAGAAGTAAACGTTATTTCTTTTTTTTTGTTGGGGGAAACTTAAATGTTAACTTAACTTAATGTTAAGCAATAAATAATTAATAGATAGTTTTTTTTAGGTTATTTTAACCGGAAGGAGAGTTGGTTTGAAGCGGACTATCCGTGACGGAGTTGTCGTCTTGAGATGAGGACGGTCTTGATGTTGTCGTACTGGATGGACGACCGTAGAGGTAACTCGTTCCACGATATCCGTCATCGTAGTAAGGATATTTCGGTCTTGGCGAGGCGTAACTGCAAAGATTAAAACATTTTTTTTTATTAATTATTCATTAATTGGATAGCAAAAAAAAAAAATATAATTAAGGAATCGAAGATCTAACTACCTGTAACTAGGGAAGAAGTAGTAGTAGTAGTAGGTTGTGCAACTGGGGTGTTTTGTTTATTGTTTTTGCTTTTAATGGGAGAAGGGGCGTGTTTTTTGGGTTTTGGTGGGTTTTGATTGGTTCCCTTTAGTTTTGTGCGTACCTGTCCTGCGGCCTGATCGGATTTTGTTTTTTTTCGTTTCTGCAAAAATTACGTGAGCAGAAGTTACATAACAAATAATTTACACACACACACACATATATACAAAAACACCGGTGCTTCCATCTTGCGGTGTCGATGAGATGTACACAACACACAATACACAAGATAATGAAAATCTGTCAATATCATTATGAAACTGAATTTGTATAAAAAGTTGCATAACAATTGTTTGATGAACATTTGAGATTGCATAGTATATGTGAAAGTATATTTTTTTTTTGGTGGTTGGTAGTTGTTGTTAAGGTTGAAAGAGCTTCCGAACCGAAAATTAGGTGGAGCGCGCGCCGCATGGTTGACCAAGCCGGACGCACACAAGAGAAAAAATATATATATATAAATATATATAGAAAGAGAGAAATAGAGGCAAATGCGCAAATAATTGGGGTTGTTGGGGAAGAGGAAAACGACATCATCACGCTTCCGTGGTTCGCGTGAGTATTTAATTTCATGTAGCGAGCGACGTTCTTTTATTTTTTTTTTACATATTCATTTGTTTGTTTGTTTGACACGGCTTGTTTTCTTTTCGAACTTTTCATCTAGTTTTTGTTTTGTTTTTTTGTTTTTGTTTTGTATGAGCGAAATAAGTGGCACGCAAAGAGCGGACACTTCCGCCGGAAACGAAACAATATCGAAATGATGATGATGATTACCTTAAGCGCACTCTCGATGTTTTTTGATTTTTTTTTATAGACAATAGATGACGTTGCGCAATTTGACACGCTTAAAAAATAATGGTTGCTTTTACTTTATGCAACTTCATTTACAGAAAGGATTAGTTCGAAGGATTAGATTTTATCATCATTTTGCAGCCTGCAAACTAATCGTCGACCCGACTAATTTGTTAATTTGTTTTCAACTGTTTTAGTGCTTTCCTATTAATACTACCAATTTTAACGCTTGAAATCTTCATAAAATTTAAATTAAATTACAGACTACAATTGTAAGTTTTTTGTTATTTTTAATTTATTCCTATACAATTGGTATCTCCGATTTACATTTTGAAGCATATTTATCGTTTAAGTTTTCTTTAGAGGAGTAAAAGAGAGAGAGATTTATTGACGATCTGATACGAAGTTTCTACGTCTTCGAGTACGAAACTTTTGTTCCCTAATCTCATCCGCACTCTCTTAGATTTTTCTTTTTACATTTTAGTTTAGTCTTCGAAACAATTGCAACTCGTAAAGCACTAAATAGTACATGGCAACAACGTTCTTTTGTTTTCCTCAATCGACAGCTTTCACGAATTCAGTTGTCGAATTTGATTACTAACACAAATAGAAAACAAATTCTGTTTCCATAGTAATGCTAATTATTTATATAGACAAAACTGATAGTTGGCAAAATAAAAGATGGTCGATCATCAGCCGATACGACGGAGGGGAGAGAAACAAATGAGTTTGGATGTACGGCGCCCTCTTGACCACATTAAAGTTTTATGATCCCCACAGTCTCTCTTCTGTACCCGAAAAGGCGAATTATTAGATTTTCGAAGCCAGCTTTGACCGCGATGAAGCTTAACCCATTCGCAGCCACCCTCGAACAAACACAAAATCCAACTAACGCTAACCCCTACGTATACATATATACAAGCATCTTGTTTATATAAGCCTAGTAAATCAAAGTAACTTTGGGTCGAGAGCGACGGAAGTTTCCGAATAATTTCCTGGATTATTCTAAATATCACTTTGTTTTCGACCGGTTTTTGGTCTTCCAACAATTAACCACTCAATTTGCGACACGACCCTTATTGTTTACAACTGACTTGTGCTCTTCCCATTCTAGCAATTTCCATTTCACGCAGCAACATTAACATACTTTTCGGACAAGTAACTTTACTCTGGCAATTTCCACTTAAATTAAACGCATACTTTTGTACAAAATCCATTTAAAACTTTTGATACAACTCGTCTCATTTTTCATTTACATGTCCTTTGTTTTATTTAAGTTAAATTTTTTATTCATCAAAAAATGCAATGAAAGAAAAGTGTCATAAACGAATCCTCACTAAAAATCATATTTTATCAAAATTACATAATTTTCACTATACAAATATCAAATTAACATTGACATAACCTGAATAGAAAACGAATGGTAGCGAAATAAAATAGTAACGTTTCTTTTATGACAATTTGTATTGGTTTAAATAATTATTATTTTTCACATGTGCCATATGTTTTTTTTTATAAAAGCTTGATAATTTTAAAATTGCATAATTTTCACTATAAGAATATCAAATTACAATTGATATAAACTCTATAGAGAACTAATGGTAGCGAAATAAAATAGTAACGTTTTTTTTTATGACAAACTGTATAGGTTTAAATAATTATTATTTTTAACATGTCTCATATGTTTTTTTTTTATAAAAATTTGATAATTTTAAAATTACATAATTTTCACTATACAAATATCAAATTAACATTGACATAACCTCAATAGAAAACGAATGGTAGCGAAATAAAATAGTAACGTTTCTTTTATGACAAACTATAGGTTTAAATAATTATTATTTTTAACAATTATCATATTTTTTTTTTATAAAAATTTGATAATAATAAAATTGCATAATTTTCACTATAAGAATATCAAATTAAAATTGATATAAACTCTATAGAGAACGAATGAGAGCGAAATGAAATAGTAACGATTCTTTTATGACAAACTGTATAGGTTTAAATAATTATTATTTATAACATGTGCCATATGTTTTTTTTTATAAAAATTTGATAATTTTAAAATTGCATAATTTTCACTATATAAATATCAAATTAACATTGACATAACCTCAATAGAAAACGAATGGTAGCGAAATAAAATAGTAACGTTTCTTTTATGACAAACTGTATAAGTTTAAATAATTATTATTTTTAACATGTGTCATATGTGTTTTTTTTATAAAAATTGATAATTTTAAAATTGCATAATTTTCACTATAAGAATATCAAATTACAATTGATATAACTCTATAGAGAACGATTGAGAGCGAAATGAAATAGTAACGTTTCTTTTATGACAATCCGAATACATTTTTAATAATACTATTATCAAATTTTGCTACGAATCTTAGTGATTATGAAATAGATTACTTATGTAGACTTATTAGGTACAGTAATGAGAATTTAAAGTAAAATAGATTAAACCTCTTTCAACTCAATTAAAAAAGAGATCGTTAGATGTAATCGGTTTCAATTAAAAGATCGCAGATCTCTTCGCGTTGCGTTACACATTCACTTCACGAAAATGCCTGTTCTCGCGATATAAATCTTCAGTGCGATTATCTTGAGAAAAAGAAAAGAAGAGTATTTACTTGAAAGCATGCATCTTTTCTGCAATTTAATTTGTAAGTAATTAATCTACATCTTTTTATTAATAAATTAATGAAATTTATTGGTTGGTAAAATGGCGGTAATGAAAATGGCGTCAAAATAAATATGGCGGAATAACAATGGTGTCATTATAGAAAATGACAGCTAAGAAAATTGATGTATGACATCCATTATTTGTACAGTTTTGACAGTTAGGTAGATTTCATATGCAAAGTGTCTTTTGTATCCGATTGTGCATTGTTTATTGCGGTTGTGCTTACCCCTGGTCCCTCCAGCCGCCACGATCTTTGTAATAGTCGTCTCCGCGGCCGCCACCGCCGCCTCCTCCTCCTCCGTAGTTCCAGGAGCTGGCGTATCCTGATCCGTAGTAATCAGGAAGTCTGGAATTGTAGGTGGACGAGTATCCACGTTCGTATCCTCGCATATGGTCGTCTCCTCCTGCTGGTCCTGCAGGTCTGTACCCGGCGCCACCGCCACTGCCACCACCTCCTCGATAGTCGTATCCTCTGTTGTCATACCCAATACCCCTGTCCGGATATCTGTCCCTTCCACCGCCTGCAGCGCCACCACTGTACCTTCCCTCCTCGTATCTGTCACGTGGATCGTACCTGTCCCTCTCGTAGTACCGATCGTACCTATCGTATCTGTCATACTTGTCGTACTTGTCATATTTGTCGTATCTGTCATATCCAGCGCCGCCACCTGCTCCTCCAGCGCCGCCACCTCTATCATATCTGTCGTATCTATCGTAATCGTAGTCCGGGTACTTTGTCCTCCTGCTCTCGTACCTATCCCTATCGTCGTAATAGTACCTCGACCTCGGATCGTACTTATCGTACTTATCGTACCGATCATACCTATCATATCGATCGTAGTCGCTGTTGCATCTGCTGCACCTTTTCCCCACGTTTCCGGGTTCCGATTGTCTCGCTTCCGGCGTCTCTTCCGGTTTCAAAGCGCCACCTACAACTTTCCCATCGTCCGTCCCCGAACCGTACCTTCCACCAAAATACTTGTTGTTATTATTATTATCCCTAGCGACTCTCTGCAGCGGTTGCGTGTTCAGATTGAGGACGTCCGTCAGTGTAGTCGCGGCGCCCAACCTCTGCGGTCCCAGCAGTCCCACAACCAGCAGACTGCAAACCAGATACCTGCCAACCTAAGCAAAAAAAACAAAAAACATCATTAATTACCTTATAGAGATAACATCGAAGAAGTAGAAGACCCAACACAAAAATGAATTAAGCTTTGGATTCATCGTGCGTAAAGCAAGATTTTTTTTTTGTTTTAATGTTGCACTTCACTGAGAAGAATTGTCAAGTTATATGTGTAGAATAATAATTTACAAAAAAATAGAATATAGTTGAAGTGAATTAAAGTAGATATAACGGAGTTATGCTGATAAAATTTAATAAAGCTTCGGAGCTTAAGAAACTGATGAATGCGAGGGAGACAAGGAGCTGAATAATAAATGTTGGAATTAAGAATGAGGGAGGCGATTTTTATTTCGCCCGAGGACAATGAAAAGAAATCTCTCAGAGTCGACTCGATTT